AGTGAGGAAAGGGTTCTGAGAGCCTTGGAAGTGATATTCGTGATCACCGCGAAATTCTCTATCGAATGGTGTATGAAGTGTCGAAAAATAAATTTCACTGCAAGGCTGCCCTGGGTGCATCTTACATCTTTTTCTGCTTAGCACTTTTTTCTCACATCTCGTCACATGGTATATATAAAACAAAACAAAGGATACAGCTAGAATGCTCTGCATCAGTTTGAAGGTCAAGTAGAAGTAAAAATAGTGGATGTAGCGTAATCCAATAATAGTCTCATCTATTTGCATTAACTAGCGCAATCGAGATTATAAAAATTATACGAATTTAATAAGTTTTGAGAACTAAAAATTCAACAACAAAATTAAGAATATGTCGCATTTAGTCATCTAAAGTTTGTATTTAGCCTTTCAATAACACATCGAAATCGCATCGTATTGTAGCGCTCTCTCTTGCCCCTATTGATGAAAAAGTATAATTATTCCTTTCTCCGTAAAGACAAACTCGTTAAGAGAGGATAAAATTTACTGATATAAGTTTATTTATTCCAGTTAAATCTAATCTAGGTTGCAATAAAAGAAAAACAAGTTGTACAAGACAATTATCCAGAAACTAGAACTCGATACTATTTTCTTGATTAACCAGTCCATATGGACTCAGGATCAGGTTGGATTATCATGTCTGTGGTCAACATATATCACTAAATCTCTGGGTCGGGTTAGGTTGAGTCGTCATTGTGTTTCACTAGTGGTCAACACTTCTACATCTCTGGGTTGTGTTTGGTTTAGTTGTCATGTGTGCCTTGCAGTGTAAAAATAAAGTGCTTCTGAGGCGAGTAAATTGGGAAATATCTGAAAATCCAAGTTTTTCGACCCCCACTCCGGTCAATTTGCACTAACAAGGATGGGAAACGGTTGGTAGAAGAAAATTTTGGCAAAGTTTGGCAAAGATAGTTCCTTCGCTATCTTTTGCGCCTCACTTTACTAAAAATCTCCGTTAGGAAAATCAATTAGAAAAAACTTTTGGGCTCTTCATCGAAACTCGTCGGTCCTAATTAAGAAATATTTTCACGTATAGATACCGGACTGCGTGGAGATTCACAATATATATTGTGTTTGTGTATGACTTTGTTCAGTTTGGTGAAAAATTAATTTTCTCACAGATGTGTTTTATCGCTAACTTAGCTATTTTTCCACACTATTTCAGTTTAGTATCAAATTATTTTATGCCATCAGATAGAGCATGTTTTGAAGTATATTTAGCACTGTTTCAATCGATAACAAGTCGACTTTCGTTTTTTCACCTAATGCCCGCCTAGATACCCACTGTGGGACGGATGTACAACTGATGACCAGTAGTAAGACACAGCCAGACATGACGATTCAACCTAACCTATTTAGGGATGCAGAATTGTTGATCACTAGCGAAACACAGCTAGGCAGACATGATGACTCAACTTAACGTAACCCGATCCAGAGATGTAGTGTTATACGTGAAATTTTCATTTTCATTTTTCATTTCGTAACAGAAGATCACGAAATTCGCGGTCATTATTCATTACTTGTTGCAGCGAAAATGAATGAAGATGGAACCGGTGCTAGTGACTGCTTATCAAGTTTATTCGTAGCGATCAGTTATTGATCCGTATAAAATCCTACACCATGTTTCAACTGTTTTTTAGGATCATGAAATGATACCACGTCTTTTAATACTGCAGTCTGAGCTACAGTCGTATCAGCTTCTGAATAGGGATGCAATGGTAACGGGTGACAACCGGTTAACCGTTACCAGTCTAACCGGTTTAACGGTTACCGCTACCGATCCAACCGGTTCTGTGAGTGATGTAAGTTCTTAAGTTAGTTTGAGTTACACTGATTGTTCCATGTTAAAAAGTGTTTTTCTTCAACGTTATGTTGATTAACAGAGAATTGTAATTAAAGAAACATTTATTTTGTGTTTTGAATTGTGTAGCAAATATTACTTTTGTTTTTCAAGTTTATTGTTTTACATGTTGACTATTTTATGAAGCAAATTCTTGATATACAAGCAATAATTTGCTCTCCAAGAAGAACTGATTCGAAAAAACATCTAATAAAAAATTTCGTATCAAAGGAGAAGGGGCAAAAAATAATATGCACATGTACAACTCTGACCGTAGCTTTTGCAATCGTCGCGGGTTGAAACCGGTCAGAACCGGTTAGACCGGTAAGGTGTGGTTACCGTTGCCGTTGTATCCCTACTTTTGAGTATGAATGTACAATTGGTGCAAAGAGAGTGAGAGGAGAGATCATTTTCGTTACATACCTGAGAATTTCGAATTTTGTTAGCGAAAAAACGCGAAAGTAGTCTTCGAACTGATGTGCTTTTTAAAACACGAAACGGCAGCCGCTCATTGCATGTCTTAGTTTGTTTAGCAAATACTACCAGCTGCTTGTTTTGAGTTCCGGTGATTTTGCAGAAATGCATGCACGTGTATTTATTTGAACTCTATAGACATTTTTACATCTAACTAAAATATACTTTGTGTTTCTGTTTAATATTCTGTCGACATATAACACATGTTGACACTTTCTGTGAGCACTGATCACACGTTGCTACATGTCCACATGGCAGAAAGACGATAGACGATTTTTGATCTAGGCAGATTGAACAGGGTTGAATAGTAGTATCTGTAGTTGTTGTTGACCTGATTTCTGTCGAAGAGGAAGAAGATGTTAGGAGTTTTCCTTTATAAAAAGTCCGTTGAGACATCGGTACTTTCGAATAATCATTAGCACGATCGAGACAACCATCACCGTAATGAGCGGGTGCAGATGGATTATTACGTAAGACGTGACAGTAGTGGCACATGGTCAAATCTGAAATCAAAGAGCAGTAACGAGACGAATAAAATGTGAGTATACGTAAATACAATTTAAAAAGGTAGAAAGAAATGGAACTATTCTTTTGTTTTTATTTCTTGACGATGAAAGGAAGAAAGAAAAAAGGTGTACAGGCTAAATAATATTCAAGCCGAAATTGGCGCCATAGCACAAGAACAAGAAACGGGACTGGAAGCGGTGAATAATACGGAGAATTAAAATCCATCGGAAGAATAAAGCATAAAATGTGATAAACAAGTGCTTTCATTTTTTTCGGCAGTATGGTAACAAAGCTTTTCTGGGCACAGTCAGAATCTTTACGATAATTTATTCACCTGCAAGAGAGAGATAGAAATAAAACTTGTTCTGTTAGAGGCTGAGTAGTACAATGTCCCAGTAGTCTGAGAATAAAAGACTGTTTATAACTTGATACCACCAACGTCTAGGTGCTTGGATCCAATGCGACAGTTCATGACTGAATGTTCCGTAACAGAAGACAATGATATTGTTAATTACTATCGCTCCTTCGTTCGTCAGAGGGGCGTAAGCGTCGTAGTCGATTACAGATCGTATTTCAGTCGCAATTTGTTTTGAGACAGTCGAATCAGAGCCTGACATAAGAAATATCTCGTCGCCAACAGTTAATTCCTTTGCAAATATGAAGTGTTGTTTAACTGAGCCTTCTTTCTTTACCAATAAAGAATGAGTTGGCGTTAGACGGAGAGGAAAAGTCAAATTACTCGAATGTATTTAAATAAATAAATAATAAATAAAATAAGAATAATAAATAAATAATTAACAAAATAATAATTAAAAATAATTCACAGGCTGCTGATTCACAGGCTACCACGAACGGAAGAACAGAGCCATCTGAACAGCAGCGGCACTTCCCGTTCGCGGTCTTTGACTTAGAAGATATATTATGATTCTGCACATTGTATCAATCTTTCACTGTTTTATGAGCATCTCTTTAATTGAAATGTTTTGTAAGAACACGAAAACTTATTGGAGGATCTAAATTTGTGTTATATCCCAGTACCCCTTCGTTGAATGGAGCATCGTGGTAACTAAATAAAGCACTCATCTATAATTACAAATATAAGTCAGTCAAATGAAAGATGAGAAAACACTTCGTAATGTGTAAAGCAATTTTTTCTCATTCGTAAGAATACACATGAATACGAATAAAAACTCTTATCTTTATTTCAGAGTATAAAAACAAAAGTGCGGGGCGAGATTTTTGGCCGCGACGCTCAGTTAGAAAAAACTAAATAAGGAATAGAGATATCAAAATCACCTGGAGAAAAGGTGAAATTGATTCAGTTTTGCATTCAAAACACCATTTACTGTGGCATTTGGTGATAAGAAATAAAACGAACAGAACGCTATAAGATAAGCAAAGCAAAAGCAAGTTTCAGAGTAGCAAAAAACTGTCGTATCTAGAAAAGTGTCCAACATCAAACGTCGAGCCACTTTCATCGATTTCTACGCTACTGTTTCTAACAGCTGTAACATGGTGGACGAAAAGCTAATTCTCTTCTAGAACCAATATGAGGCTTCAAACAGGACCGCTTCGAATTCGAAAACAAGTGACAAATATATAGACAGAAACTCGCATGATAATATAATCTGGACTGTCGACAAAGAATCTATTGCTCCTCTATATGTCGATTTCTCCTTTATCAAATAGTTTCCATAGCATTTCCACCGACATAAAATTTAACAAATCGTGATGATCCACCACGTTTCACACTCGATAATTTCTTAGTTGAATTCGAATGGATGTCAGATCAATTTAAAAGAACAATGAAACCATCTGTAGACTATCGACGTCTTGTTCGAATAGAACGCATACAAAATCAATGCTGATTTGTACAATATACGGCACAACGAAATAATTTTCGTCAAAGTTTGAAAGATAATGAAAATGAAATGTATCTTTTCCTGCTCAGAGGATGCAGCAAAATCAATTATTACGACCAGTCATTTTGACCGAAGCTTAGCAGGCGTTAATGGTGTGTAGACTTAAGAAAATTGTACTAAAATTCATCTGAAAGCAAGAGCTGTCTTCGAAGGTCAAGAGATACCTGTAGTATAAAAGTTGCACTGTTACCATAACTGCTTCTGAGTGTGTAAACAAAACATTGAGAACCCAGGTCGAGCAAAACGGATATCCGTTACAGACCGTCTACTGGACGCAGGAATACGGACCGTAACATCATTAAAATAGGGCCGTATACGGCCGTATTTTCACAGTATACGACCCCGTATTACTGTGCTCAGAAACGGTATCGTTTACGGGCCATATATTGTGAAAATACGGCCGTTTACGGCCCTATTTTAATGATGTTACGGTCCGTATTCCTGCGTCCAGTAGACCGTCCGTATATGGACCGTATCGTTCGACCTGGGAAGCTATCAGTTTTGACACTCTACTTTAATATTCTAGGCACTTTGTATAGTTGTGGCAATTATTTTGCTGTGGATGCTAGATATAGTCATAATTTTACAAATCGCAATCCAACTAGTGTAAACGCTGTATGTTTCTCTGTCATGTCTTAGTTGGTCGAACAACATTAGGAAATAGTCACATGAAAGTGCCTCCTCATAATTTTGAAAGTACCACAGATGAGAATAAAAACATCTTTGAAACCTACCAGGATGCACAATCCTATGCAGAATATTTAATTACATATAAATAAACTATTTTGGTCACTTAAAAAAATATTCTTAATAACTTTCTTTTGTAAGAACGAGAAATCTGAACTTGTCAGTTCAGTGTCATTTTGAAAGTGTAAGAACTGTGCGGGCTGTTTTTATTCGGGAAATGAACGTCTGCCGAATTACATGAGATTATTCAACGTCCAGAGACAATATATGCTAGAAGTTTTACAAAATAAATTGCACCATCTTTTTGAGACAATGCACTCAACAATCACTAACGCACATCTCCAGTAATACCGTATCTTTCAGGTGAGACAAACCAAATTAAATTCCTCTCAGACGCGAGTTGGAAAAATTTGAAGTGTTTGATGATGAGGAGGAGAAGAAGAAGAAGATGACTCAACATTTGTCACTATCGAAGTGATCCCTTCTGCTTCCAATGATTTATATGTCGATCGATAGGGTATATCGAGTTAGTAAAAGCCCTAAAAGAATTTCGGTCGATGATTCATCCTTCAAAAGTTAGAGTGATTTTTCTGTGTTTTCCTAGGGAAATACAAACTAAAAAATTCATAACTCTATCAAGAAAAGTAGTTAAGAGCTCAAATTTCTTTTCTATGACTCTTCTGTACGTATGTGATATTCATGAAAAGTTTTGAGCCTTTTTAATACCAGTATTAATATACCGGTACACCGAAAATATACCGGTTAATTTCCTGCAAGTCTTTGGTATCTCACAATGACAGAAGTTGTCTAGAAATGGTGCTGCTTTTAAGTTCAATAATGCACAAAACATAACATTTATGAAAGAGATGAGTAAACTTGTTTGTCTGAAATATGATTCGATCTCTTCTCTACTACAGTCTGTGCTTTTGAAGTCATTTTGTTCGGTCAGACGCTAGCTGGGGACTCGACAAAACTGTTCATACTGTTTCTTAGTCAAATCAGTTTTTGACATATATTTTATGATTTTACTTTATGACTATGAATATTACTTCATTTTTCCTCTCAAATTTCCTCAGCAAAGAAAACAATTCCTAACAAAACAAAATTTTCAGAGAAACACGGAGAACGAGAAACTCAGTTCTGAACGTTGATGAACAAGAACCGAGTTATCTTGGGCACCTTGAATCATTAAGTACTTTTAGTTAACTTACTATTATTAAGTCATCGTTCACAAAAAGCTAATTCTAGGATAACTGATTCCAGTAGTTCGAGCGCATTCATACCGATATTCATTCTATATATGTATTTTGTAAGGGTCCGAACTTGATCTGAGTTTAGACTTGAATTTAGATTAAGACTGACTTAAATTTCCTTTATGACACGTTCTAAGTCGACGTACTTACGTATATCTTCGTTGAAGTTTAAACTTCAGCACAGACTTAAGACAGCAACTTAAGCAATTATTCATTTATTTATTTATTTATTCTCGGTGGCAAAGAGAAAGGGCATAAACAAAAGCTGGAGGCTTAAGACGTCTATCCCATGGCACACAACTACACACAAAAATAAAAATAAACATTACAAATTACAAGTGACTAGTTCCTGGAGGAACTGTTGTATTTTTAACACAAATAGATTGAAAGAAGAAAGTGTCACAACATCGGGCGTTAAGCTGTTCTTTTATTGTCCGAATAAGAAACTATGATTCATGACCGATGTAGAAAAATTAGGTACTTCAATTTGAAGGAGGTTAAATTGAACATGTGAATCGACGCAGATTCGACTATTTCTTTTAAAATGAAATGAAAATTATAATTCAACCTTAAAATGTGAAAATACCAAAAACAAGCAGGTTTCTTGGTGCCACTCACTGAATTTCAAAAGCAAGAAAAATATAAGTGACAAAATCAATTTGATATTTGGAATCTCCACAAAAAATAGAGTAGAATGGACTATTTCATGGATGTTCGATTTTCCCCCTATAAACTTCTTCGTTCGTCAGAAATCCCGAAAAATAAGATTCCCTGTTCTCAGCCTGAGACAGTTGAAATTTGAAGAACTAAGTGGAAATCAAGCGGTTAAACACGACTTCAGAGAATCAAAAATACAAATATGAATACAATTCTCGCTTGGTTTTTTCCAACACTGCCCAGGTCCAAGAAAACGGCACCGTTTTCAGAACGTGCCGTAAGAAATCGTTTTTTCACCGTTTACGGATCGTTTTCTAAACGTTTTCTTATCATTTACTGGCCGTTTTCTTGTTGTTTTGAGAACATTAACGGACCGTTTTTTAGAAGTTATATTAACTCCTAAAAAATTTTCCTCCGACTTCGTGATATTGACTTATCTGACGCATCTACCCTTTCTCACTAATCGACCTAATCTAGGTACTAGACTATACACATCATCTAACGCCACTATAATGTTTTTCCTTAGTTGAAAATATCGAAATTCGAACATCAGAATTTGTGTTTGCCAGTCTGTCACTGTAACTATATATGGCCATGTCGGTTCGAAAACTAACACTATTAAAGTGCTATTCAAGCTTGCAAGCTGACGTACTACTTTACATCCAATTTATTCCAGTGCATCTACATAGTGTGAAATATGATGGAAGAAAAACGAAAAATACACACATATTGGATTCTTTAGGTACTAGACTATACACATCATCTAACGCCACTATAATGTTTTTCCTTAGTTGAAAATATCGAAATTCGAACATCAGAATTTTGTGTTTGCCAAAAGAAATTTGAGCCCTTAACTACTTTTCTTGATAGAGTTATGAATTTTTTAGTTTGTATTTCCCTAGGAAAACAGAAAAATCGCTCTAACTTTTGAAGGATGAATCATCGGCCGAAATTCTTTTACTCACCATAAATAAAACCTTTATCATAAATGGCAGGTTGAAAAATAGTTATCTTCTAGTTTTGTTTAGCACAATTGAAATTGGGGATGTAATCAGTTTAACACCATGTCATTTAATTCCGATAGTTAAAAATGGAGTACCATTGTTCGTTTATGCAGAAAAAGTAACAACAGATGATTGTATTTATATTAGCATTGTGGCCCAATCGATGACAGCAAAAGTAAAAAGTGCAAAACATGAAATAAAATTCGATTATTGTTCACTTGTTACAGCCAACGGTAAGTCTTTAGATTTCGTTCGCAGATTAAATGGATGCATCTCTGCCTAGGCATATGATAACTATTTTTCAACCTGCCATTTATGATAAAGGTTTTATTTATGGTAAGTAAAAGAATTTCGGCCGATGATTCATCCTTCAAAAGTTAGAGCGATTTTTCTGTGTTTTCCTAGGGAAATACAAACTAAAAAATTCATAACTCTATCAAGAAAAGTAGTTAAGAGCTCAAATTTCTTTTCTTTGACTAAAACACTCAGATGTTATAATAGGATGAAAATTTTTTTTCGTCGTATTTAAGCAGCTTGTCACGATTTACAGCTGGTGATCTGTAATCATTATCGCTATGTTTTTTGATTCAATGGAGAACACTGAATATTTTGTTTCATATTTTTGAGTTTTACAAAACTAGCAATGCAATTTATATAATATCCAGCATTTAACATCTATCATGGTGATAAACACTAATTTTTCTGTTCTAGACCCATAGTGCGGAGTCATGACTTATATCCCGATCGACCTATACGATTATCCCGATTGGGCTACAAATCCCGACCTTAGAATCAACTCCAAACATAGGTTATCGACTATGTTAAATCTCATGGCAATGTTAGTTTTTAAAATAAAATGGAAGAACCAAGTAAAAACCTACACTAAAGGGATGGACACAATAGAGGACTTCCCTACGATAGAAGATCTCCCCCTGTTACAAGACCCCTCTTGAACTCATAACGCAAAAACCACGTTAGAAGACCCCTTCTTTTATCAATTTTTTGACCTAAAATATGTTGATTTTGAGGTTCAATCAAACACTAATCTTTGCGTTCGTCTTTTCCCTCAGCTGTTCCCAGGTCGAATTCACCCGGTCGGATCCTGCCGGATCCTTTTAATTCCGGTAATTTCCGGAGATTGGACGCCCGACCGCATCCGGAGATCGGAATCTGCTCAATTCCTTCGCGTTCCGATGTTTTTTTTCTGGAGGATCCGGAGATATCCGGAACCAGGCGGATCCGTTAATTTCCAGTGACCGGAAATCGACGGATCCTGTGATGTCCACTTTATTTTTTTTTCTTTCCAGTGCGGATAATATATTCACCGTTTTGTTTCAGGACAGGAGCACTTTAAATACGACACTGCAGAAAATGAGAAATGAGAAGTTGTTCTTGTCAAATTCTTAACAATGTAAGTCATCGCTCGCACTGTTCAACGGACATGTTATACACGTCCCAGCTAGCGGGCCCCTCCACTCTCTCGAATGAGCAGAGAGAAGAACCACCAGAAAATGAAAGAAAAAATTGTCATCACCCACATCAGCGATTAGATCAACATATTTATCGACGAGTGCATTAAATAAATCGTTTATAAAATACCGAAATGAATACAAAGCATCTATATCAGACGTTCGAAGTGCTTTATTAATAATATCGGATATAAAACTAACTGTTGTATACCAGTGAATAGCATTTTTGGATCCATACGTCAATTCAAATTCTTTTATACGAATCAGTTGTCGATAATTACTAATATAATATTCCTTTAGTTTATCTATTAGTTCAGTTTTAGATTCTTGTGTGACCGGAAGTTTTCTTATAACATCTCGAAATAATTGAAACCAAAGAAATCGAGCGGTTTCAGAAGATAAATTGTGCATAGTGGTTTGATTGTCTTCATACAAAGAACGTTTATTCATTATTTCGAATGTTTGTTTTAGACTTTCAGCTAGTTGTTCACGATCATTTGTAACACTGATAAATGTTGGATGTTGATCATTGTGAAAAACGTATTCATATTTTGTTTAATTTGTACAAAACATGAATAAAGAAAATACTTTTGGGAATTTTTCCATTGTTGGAAGAGCTTCTCGTGCTACAGCACCAGACAGAATGAGATAAATAATTTTTGCTTCCGGTGATTTGACATATTCTATACAATCGTTTAAATTATCGAAAAACTTAACAGAATCTGAAATGGCGAGTAGCATTGTTTTTGTGTGTTTGATATCATCACCAGTCACAGAATTAACATTTTTATCGTACCAAATTAATTTAACATCATCTTTTTTGGGTATTTGTTTTATCCATGTTTATATATTATTAATTCTTCATATCGACGATTCACCGCCACTGTTGAAAGAAGTTCTGCTTCTATGCGAAACATCGTGCACATTCGCTTTCTATTCAAAACAAGTGAAACCGCAATTGAGATGTTTTTGCTTTTATAGCGATAGAAAAGTCGGTTTGGATCCGGACACTTTTGCGGAACATCCGCTTGGCGGTGCTCCGCGCTACTCATCAGCTCAGAAACCCTCTATCTATGGGTTTCAAAAGACTGATTCTCCAGCTCTTACTATATCAAGTTGGTGAATAATTAAGAAGAAAAAATTAAACATATCAAATCTGACATAGGATAAAAGATCGTTGTAGTTATACTGTTATATACATTGGATATTAATTTAAATATGTTTTATGGACTAAATTAAACTCAGAATTAATTATGATAATTAGCTGACAGTTTTTATAAAATCTTCTGTTTATGGCTTACATAAGCCTGTTCTCTATCGAATGCAAAAAGAATCATCTGAAAATCGTGTAAACTACGCAAGATCACACCAAATTATCCGACATATGTCCCATTTCAAGGACTCATATACAAGATGATATGAAGTTGTGGACAGC